CAGTTTCTACATTTACATTTAAGTACATTTTAAATTATGCATATGTTTTAAAATAGTCTCTATTTAAATTAAACTAAACAGTTAAAAACGGGAACCAACCCCTAATTTACTACCTTAGAGGTAGAATTTTTTCTTAAAATTTAAATGAGATCACTCGTGAAATACAAAAGGAACCATTAAAGTCGATTCACAATCAGCTAGAAAATCGTGTAACACACAAAAAGATGAAGTCAAATTGAAAACCGAATCTTCTTTTTTTAATGTTGATTGAAAATGAAAGCATTTATAAAATATTTTCGCAAAAGATTCATTTGTTGTAATTGCAACGTGCAACTGTTTTTCTAAATTGACTTAGTTGTTAAAATTATATAATTTAAAAGGAATGAAAATTCTTGTTTTCATTATACAGTTAATTTACATTTTTTTGTTTAAACTTTTAGTTGGCAGGTTTGGGTGTTCTTGGTGTTGCGATATGGACAATTTCGGACAAATATCAATATGTAACACTCCTGACAACTGTCACCTACGAGGTCCTTATTTATTTCCTGCTATTTGCAGGAGCACTAGTCCTTTTAATAGCAGTAATCGGCTGTTGTGCTATATCCAAAGAAAATAGGCCAATGCTTATATGTGTATGTATGATGTATTCTACTGACAGTTATTAATTATCCTGGCAACGTCCTTTGCAGTGTCTAATGAGTTAATGAGGTAACAGTTCAAGGAATTTTCAGGAAACGTGAAATACCTACAAAATAACTAAATATCTTTTATTTTTTCATACTTTAATACACTTATATGTACATGCGATAAAATTTTCGTCTTACTGAGAATTCAAAAGCAGAATTTTGTGTGACACACAGTATATATGCATTGTTTTCTTACAAATTTGTTACAAAATTGAAAAAGCACGAACATACTAATTATCTGATGACGTTGCAACTTGGATTTAAATGTTTTGGATTGATTGATTACGATTTTTTTTAATTGTATTTTCTTATTAACTTTTTCAGTATATATTTGCCTTAATTTTAATATTTCTACTCGAAGCAATGGTGGGATTAATGTCATATGTATACGATGAGCAACTTGAAACAGAATTAGAAATGAATTTAAATAACACGTTTTTAACAACCTATAGCATCGATGAAACGAAAACCAAAGCTATAGATTTTTTGCAAATGGAAGTACGTATATGCAATTTTTGCTTTCAATTTTATTTTTATTTCCTAATTGATTATAATCGTTGTTTGGTCAGATTCTACGATCAAAATAACGATTGTTGTAAGTATACTTTATTTTGGTAACGATTTAATTTTTTTCCTGCAGTTCCACTGCTGTGGGGCAGTTAGTTTTGATGACTGGAAGTATAGTAGATGGAGGACTGAAAATCTGTCAGGAAAAAATTTAGTTCCCGATTCATGTTGTAAAACAATTTTACCAGAATGTGGAAAGAGAGACCATCCATCAAACATAAACTACAGTGTAAGATGCAATAATATATTTAAAATTGTTTCTTTTGTACATTTGTAAAACAAATGAGTGATTGAGATTCCATTTTGTTTTAGGGTTGTCTTACAAAAATGGCCCACCATATGAAATATCATTTGTTTGTTTTATGTGCTGTCGGATTAGGCATATGCGTTGTCCAAATTATAGGAATAATACTTTCCTGCAAATTGTACTTTAAATTGAGAAATGTTATCGATTACGACTAAATAAGCATTTAATATTTTATTACTGTAGAAGTCAGTAACATACGAGGCTAACTAATTTATAAATTAATTATTAATTATTTCTTACATATCATAATTGTACAATGTATATTGTTATTTACTGTTTTATACGAAAATAAAATTGCAGTAAAATCATTTAAATTGTTTTCTTGTTTTTTTTACCATAAAAAGGAATTATAAGTTTTGAATTCCTTAAAAAAGGTAAGACTTTTGCACTTAATTTTTAATATAAGAATAATACACTTATTGCAAGTTTCAACAATTTATTGTTTCATGCTTCTTTGGAAGTCACACAAATGGTCGTAACCCGGTATCAGTATTTTACTTAAATATTGGGATATCAAGGAAAATTTACAATTCGATGTCTAGTAGTTTTAATAGTCCCGTTAATTATTATTTATTAATTTTAACCCAACGTTTCGATCTGTTAACCGTCTTAACAATATAGCAACATATTACAATAGCTACTTTTAGTTTATTTATTTGTTATTAGTTGAAGTATACAACAATAAGTATGATTATAAACATAGATGCACTGTTTTAAATGCATACAATCAATTGTTTTTATTTCCGTGAATATTAATTCCCTACAACAAAATATCTTTCGATTTCTTTCAAATGCAAGCAAAAGGAGTCTTTTACTGGAGCCAATGCTATAATTAGCCAAGCTGTAGAAGCTAAAATAGCTCTCCAAAAAGACAGATGCTTCCACAAATAAATCTCTTGATGATTTATCTGAAAAATAAAGCGTTTATTTGCAAATATCACACATCAACAAATATTTATTACTATTTAATTTGTTTCGCTATTCAAAACAAATTTAGAAAGACCTACATTGTTCAGTACATACATGCAAATTACGTAAGTATAGCATCAACGCTACTTGAGTAATGTTATTTAATTTATATAATAAATGTACAAATTGAATTACTATTATTTGTGTATCATAAGAAAGCTTCTTTCTTACCTCGTCTATTGTAGAATTGTTGTGCAAAATAAAACTAATTTTGTCATCGGTTTTTATAGCAATTAAATGGACAACGAAGCAGACCAAGTAAATCAAAATGACAATAGAACTTTTCCTCCCAAAAATGTAGTCTTTTAGATGATAATAACTTAAATGGGATATGTCATACCTGTAAACCAAATTAATACCTATCAGTAAATATATCGTAAACTACGTCTAAATAGGGACTTAGGGATCTGGATCCTTTCCTCTTATTAAAACTTACACGAACAAAGATTTTTAATTTTGATTACTTTTAATAATTATGTAATACTACAGCATTCGTCAAATAACCAAATGCAATTACATAATTTTAATCTCCTACCATTAAATTAACGTTTTTTTTTTTTTAATTTCAAATACAGTCAAAATTGTTCTAAATAGTTTCAAGTTGATTGTGACGATGGCAAAAATACGAAATATTTTTTATAATTAATAAATATTTGTCTTTGTTTTACCATATTTTTTTCATTAAAGTATAATAATTACATCTTGCAAACTATATGCCTACTGGAAATTATTAATAAGTGTCTGAAACTGACAATTTTCAATTAGTTTTTTGATTCTTTACATTTTGCGTTGGCAAGAACAGGAAGCCAAAAATAAGTAACGAATACCTTGTTTGTTTGTGTCCTACTTTCTGACTAAACGTAACGTAATATACCTACAAAATAATGTTAAAAATATCGTCGTCATACCTGTCGAAAACAGACACCAGGCAGATAACCACCAGCAAACTAAATAAACATGCATAAACGTCACTGTAATAAGCATAAGTTTCCAAAAAGTCTTTGCTGGATGGTTCTTCGGTGACACTGAGGTAACAGTAATGTGCCAGAGCGATTCCACCCAAAAACCCATGGCACAACATTGTAAATGGTAACCATTTCTCTTGATAACAAATCGCAATGTTAAGAGGTAATAGAAAACTACTGGGGCTAGAAATTATAATTATCAAATTGTAGGTAATTGTGTATACTAATCAAAAATTATCGATTTTTCTTACCGTTTTGGCTCATCAAATTGTTTAGCTGGATTAAGTTCAGTTCTCAAAGTAGGTTCGAATTTGTTCTTTTTCTGTACGTAAATTTTATCGCTTTTCTTCGGGCTTTTTCTTACCTTATCCAGTTTAGCTACATCTTCAGGAATATTTTCGAATACATCGTCTTGAAGTTCTTCCAGTGCCAATGTTATTTCCGTTTTAGGTTCGAATTCCTCGTCCCGTTTTCTGTGTTTCTTTTTGCCCGATGAAGTAGACATTGGTGAAAATTCTCGTTTCTTTTTCTTACTCTTTCTTTTCTCTTTTGGTATCATCATTTCTCTGCTGTCACCCAAGCCTACTTCCTGATCTGTCGTGTTATTGTGCTTTTTCTTGCGCGACTTGGATTTTTTAAGCGAATTCAAAATTTCATCGTTGTCCCTGCAAATCATAATATCCTGCATACTGTTATACATATTCCTTTCCAAATCCAGGTCTGTATATTCTTTACGTTTTCTGTAATGTTTTTTCTCTTCCGGGCTTAACATTTCCAGGTTTCCTGAGAGTTCTTCTGGCATTTTCTCGTCCTCATAAAAGCTTAGACTTTGTGGTCTCGAATCGCTAAAATGATTATGTTTATTAATATCCCTTTTCATTTCGGTTTCTATCAAGCTAATTATTTTTGTGTTAATTGTCGATTCTCCGTCAATGGAGATGTCCCTGCTTGGCGTACGTTGGCTGTAGTTGGAGTTTTTGTCGTTATTTTTGTCTTCCATATTGTAAGTCCTGTTGGATTCGGACATTTCATCTGATTTTGATTCTTCTGAAGGAACGTCATGTTTGAGTGGTTTGTGAACTTGAGCCACAATGTCTTGCTTGACTTCGTCCTTCTGACGATGCTTTCGAGGACGTGGTGACAATTTCGAACTCATATTACTTTACAACTTGTAGATTAGTTTCGGAGGATAATTTGTAACTCTCTGTAAGGTTTACACTAATTTGAACTAGATATAACTAATTTATGGTATGCACTGGTAGTTTATATTGACGAGGGTATCATAGAAACGACGTTGCCATGATAATATTATCGATTGAAACAACTTGGGGAAGGCGCAATCGTGGAAAAGGCGCAGATGGAGTAGGATATAGGGGATATGACTAAAAGTTGTAATAAACAAATCTTCAATTTTCCTTAATTATGTAAAATGAATGTAATTAAGAGTTTGAATAATTTATTGAGTTCATCTTGTGGCAAAGCCCTAGTGGTATTCTGTTTTTGAGGGGATTCGACCCACTACAGATACAGACAAAAAACTTTGTATTATTGTATTCTCTCGATATTAATAAAAAAACTGCCTAATACAAAAGGTACAAATGGACCTAGATAGCAACAACAAACAAACTTGAAAGGGGGTAAAAATAAAGAAGTGATTTAAAAAGTATCTTGATTTAAATTTCTTTCTTAATCATTCCAATTGACAAAAGTATTAATTAAGGACGAATGGACGAAGCTTTTATTTATCAAAAATTATTCGTTGTTTTCGAATTCTTTATTTAAAAAAATTACTGTACACAGTTTCGTTACAGTTCCAAAATAAATAATTCAGTATGAAATAAATAGAATATAGCAGTATCTTACAGACACTACAATAAAAATTATATTTTAAATTATGTATTAGTGNGGGAGGCTGACGTGTCCTTAAAATGTGAATGGGGGGGGGGGATATGTATAAACCAAGTTAAACAAAATGTAACTACACACTGCGTTACAATCTGCCTTAGTGTTAGTTAGCCGCCTTTGAAACCAGCACTGATTTTAGAAATGCTTAGGCAGAATTGAAAGAGGTGATTTATTTGAGCGGACAGGGAATACTGATACAGTTCTTTTATGTACAAACATCGGAAACTTCTTTCCACACTTGTGAAAATTATAATTAAATATATTTTAAAAGTATAAAAATTTAAAAAAAAACACGTAAACAATCGTGCTGTTCAACGCGTTTATTATAACCACAGTTTTTTCAAGATCGTCAACTTTATGAATTTGAAAGGCTATGAATTAGTAAGATCTCACTTTAGATTTGGAAAAACCGAGTAACCTTGGTGATGACGTACAATAGTACAACATTCAATACCTATGTCATAATATGACAAACATAACACGAGTATCATACACATATGCAATAAACATCTATCTGGTTATAACAAACTTTTATCGATTTTGTTAATGTTAAAACGTGAACGTTTTTTCAGCCATCTGGCATTTTTTTGTCAGTACACACATACGGCTACGTACAATTGTTGTATGTACAATAATAATTAGGTCCAGCTCAAATGGTATAACATAAATTATTCATTAATAAGGTGGACTTTCCAAACGACTTGTTTTTGTTATATTTTGAATGAAATTGACTTTTTTGTAAATGCAAAGTTCTTATATAATAAAAGGTAGGGTGGAGCCCACAATAACACTTTATGGGTTGAGTGATACATATACTAAATGTGACTGTTCATGACTGAACTTATTAATAAAATTCAGATGACAATAACTTGTAGATACTACAAATATTTGTATATGCGTCATCATTTTTGTTTGTTTATTCAAAAAACGAACTGCACAGGCATCATCTGTAACACCAGCCAGTCTAAATCCGTTACTAAAAATTTTCCCACTGAAAATGGGCTAGCCGTGGTCTATTTATTTTACACGAATCAGGAAAAAAATATATCATTACATCACTGAAACGTTGCCACTTACTTTTTTTATTATTTTTGTAATTTTTTTTCAATATTTATCCAGGTATCATCATATTTCCTTACCATGTAGTGTTACAATTATAAATAATCATATTATTAATTATTATTATTGCATCTAGGTAATATGTAGATATGAGTATTAATGATTATAATATAATAACATAATAACAACAAATATTTGGCATAAGTATTTTTGTTTATCTCTCAGTAAAACATAAAGTTTAGAAGATCAATTTATATGTATGACCTTACGTATATATATGTTGCAATGTTTTTGTTTATATATATATTGTATTAATGGATATTTAGTATAAACTAACCAAGATTGTTCATAGAACTTACTTAGGTAATATATCATAGATATATGGGACCAAAATCACCGACTTTCAAGTCCTCCGCATAGTCCTGAAAACTCCAGTATTTGCTCTGTTTAAATTACCTTTTTAAACCGGCAAACACCCAGGAAGTGGACCAATAGGGGCCATACTTGTCGGCAAATAATTACTTAAATTTAGGAATTTAAACATTACCTGTGGAAATTACCTTCCACTTACCTAAAACCTAACTACACGTGGTAATACCGCACGTGTTTGTTTCACATTCTGTGATAACTTCAAGAATGCAAAACAATTTTTATTTTTTACCGTTACCAATTTACTTATTACATAACGCCCCGAATTTTGTACAGATTTTAGTTATGAGTAGTTAATCGTAGTCTTTAACGTTGATGACCAAAATACAATAATCCCGAGTCGAAAAATTGGCACTCATTTTATCCTCAAATGAACTATTTAGACTCATTTTTTCCTCATTTAGACGTTTTTAATCTCAGATACCTCAATAAGTTTTCATAAGACTCATCACATTGGATTCTAAAAAGTCTCATTTTATTCTCAATGTCTGCAATCCTATGGCAATAGTCCTCAATTTAACCTCAACAAGAAAAGAATGAGACTTTTTGAAGACAAAATGAGGTTTCCTAAATAATCTTTACTCCTCAAAAGTCTCATTTTGTCCTGATACGGGAAAACCGCGGATAAAATGAGACTTTTGAGTCTTGTAGTTTGAAATATCCCTAAAAATTCTATTGAGATCAAATGAGGACAAAATGAGTCCCAATTTTTTGACTCGGGATTTCACCGTAAAGAAAAAGTGATAAATGTTTACGAGAATTACGGTATTCCGATCAAAAATCTACAAACTATTTTATAATATACGAAATTATCATTTACTTATTACAAGTTATACGGATGACAAAACTGATAGACCAGTCTTTGAGATCTTTCCGTCTTTTTCATTATACCTTTTTTGTAATATTGCCGTATTGACCTACTCAGTTTGTCGTAGTTCATAGCTGGCCTGTTTTTTCGTTTTCCCCATAGTTTTGCCACCTTCACAGAATCTTCGATTTTGAAGATCCCTTTGCTGCGATCAATCCATCTGATACATGTACCATGTACCTGTGGAGACGCTAGCAATTCCTTGAGGAATTGCCACAAATGGATGTGGGAGCTTCCAGTACCGCGAGATGTCGAAGGTTTTGATTCGACCTCCATTGGAACTTCCTCATCCTCATCTGGAATTAAAATCAATTTGTCTAAACCATAAAATAATTATTTATATAATAATTATTGTATTTGGTCTTAAAAGGTCGATGACGAATTGTAAATTATTTAATTTAAAAGTTTCTGGTGCCTTCACCAAAAGTTGCATTAATTGCTAATATTTGGAATAGTAGAATTTTTTGTAATTTCAACTGGAATAATTTTGTGTTCCCTTGAGATAAATAGATAGAGAAGGTATTAAAACCCAGAGGGTGTTATGGAAGTCAATGAGAAGTAGACGAAATATGTTGGTAGGACGAATTCTCAGGCATGAAGAGCTAGTTAGAGACATACTGGATGGAGAAACAGAAGAGAGGTAGAGGTAGATCTAGATTAGATTAATGTTCACAAACAGATAAATATGTGGGATGTTCTAGTTTTAAGAAAATGCAAAGATTAGCTCAGGATAGAAAAGAGTGGAGGTACATATCCAACCAGTCTTAAGACTGACGACCTTATGATAATGATGATGATGATGATACTAACCATACACAAATGTTTAAAAATCATCTGATTAGTACTTCCAATTAAAGATCTACCGTTTAATTAACCTTTTATAAGTGCAAATGTTTTCTTGTACCACATCTACTTACTACAATTAATTAGTTATAGTCTTGTGTTAATGTTTTTTTTTTATTTTTAATGTTACAAGCAACATGTGTAAAATACAAATCGTACAACTGTGTGCCGAGCAACGGTTCACGTTTCTTGGTAGGTAAGTCTCCAATTTAACCTTTAAAACACACCTATGTGTGTATTAATATTAATACCATTATGGTATTGCTTAACCGTTTATGGAACTTGTATACTTATCTGTATAAAACACGTATTCAGGTATTGGAGTATTCGATACAACATATACTCGTTAGAAACATTTATTCGTACATGCATTAAGTATGTAAATCGTGTATTTTTATATTTGTATCGATACAGTAAAGTAGTATAATAATTATAATAAAAGCGTGTTGAGTCAGATGACAGTTACCTACTTAGAAATCCACTTCTGAAGGACGACCACTATACGGATAGATAGACCTAAACTTTTTTATTTTAACGCCACACAGCTTCCCAGAACGTGGAGCTTAAATAAAAAGTTGATCTTCTATCTAATAATGCTACGGAGAATTAGTTTGTTTGCGAGGTGCTATTTTTTTAATTGACAGGAAGTTAATAGGTTGGCATTCATAAGAAACAGGAATTGGAGCACTGTAAACAATTTTTTACCACACCCTTACCGAAAGTATCTGCGATGTTTTTGTTCTGATTTCGGGAATGAAAGCGCAACATTCACTCCCGGGTAAGAAGTCGCATTTACTATTTGTTAGGAAAGGAATTTATCGTTGTTAGAGTCGCTTCTTCTCCCCTAGTGATGAGTAAATACCAAGATCAAAACCAAGACTGTTTTTATACTAGGAGGACCAAGATCAAGACGGAGTGAACAAGACCAAGATTAAAACTAAGAGCGAATGATCAATACCAAGACTAAAACTAAAACCAAATATGCAAGAATAGACGAAAAATTATTGTTATTATGAGTTAAACTATTTGAAGCAAATGTAATATATTCTTTTGTTGGAACGAAACATTTTTAGTACTTATTTGAAACTTTCAGTTTGAAGAAAGAGATTTACAGGAATGTCTTTGGAGTAAGTGTACTTTTCTTTCTTTCTATATCTGGATAACTCATGGTTGAAAGAGACAAACTAATTTTTTTTTTCGATATTTTTTACTTCCTTCAAGTACTATTTTGTTTACTAAAAGGTCAATTTAACCGTTGGAGAAAGGGCCAATTTATGCATTGGGGGTGGGTGAACTTTTCCAGTTTTAATTTTCAAAGCTTTAAAAAAGGCTTCGTTTGTATTATAATTTAACGAATTTGGCGTACTCACCATCAGAAACATCACCGCTGGAGGTGTTGCTGGATGTTGTCTCTTGTAACCATGGAATACCTAAACCACTCTCAGAGTGGGAGGCTTTCCAAATTTCCAATTGAGCGTGAAGAATGCTTCCACCCTAGAACAATAGAGAAGATACATTTTTTTTAAAAAATATCCTTTATATTTAACACAAAAGCGTACCAAGGTAATTTTCAAAATTAAATTAAACTATAATTGGTAGCGAGTACTATAACTATTGTAATATAATGCAAATTTTGGTTTTTTGGGAATTTTTGTTGGAAATAATGATATATCAGACGTTAGATAACTGAAACATCGCGATCCTTTCTTTTTCTGATAAAAGTGCTTAAGATTGTATGACTTTTCAGAAAGCTCGATTATAATTGGATCGATATAATTTTTTGATCTCTTTGTCATTAGACTGCTAATCAAGAACGTAAAGATCCATTATATTTAGGGCCAGCAAGACTATTTTAATGCTTTTAAGTAGCAATCGATCTGTAGTTTGTTGTCCTTTTCAAAGTTAGTTAAATTTGACGTGATTTTACCCAATTTATATTAAGATTTCCCAAAAGGCGTTTCAGAATCTTCCATAAAAAGTAAAAAATATACTTGCAATGTATTTATTGAAAACAGAAATTTGAAAAATAAAAAGTATTAGATATCTATGTACAATGTAGTCGCTGTTTAGGGCTTGGCAGCTTTCTACATCTTACGTGGTCGATTCTTTTGCATACGGTGACCAAACCGAACAACTTCTTGCCGTTATTTTTGTATCTTAAGTGGGTCAAAGAGAAAGACTTTCTCCGTTTTCATGAATAACGATTACCATGCCTTACCCACCGATATACATATATATGTATATATATATATATATATAAACTGATGTGAAATCATGTTGACTATTTTGTAAAGGTCGCCAAGTGACTTTGCCCGCGGTGGTGGTTGATTGCACCGAGTTTCAAAGAGAAAACAAGAGCAACATTTGTTGTATGTGTGTGTCTTAATTGCTACAGTCATTATCTCGAACACACGAAAACAATTAGATAAGTTAACGTAAAATAATACCGCGGTCACTTTTATCGTTAATGAATAAATTAGTTGGAACACAAAGAAATGTCATTTTTTATAACTTACCATAAGAAAAAGGACGCAAGTGTGGTAAAAGTTGAAAGAAAAACCAGCTACTATATTAATTGCTTCTTTAAATTGTATTAAAATATCTGTATCTAGTCCCCACATACTTTATTTTAGTTAAGTTTAAATTCGCTTTGTATCTACATTAGTTTAGTTATGTAAATATATGAAGTTATTATAATATCCACAAGAGATCTTTGATATTTGAGTTAAAAATGTGTCTAATGACGTCAAAAATGCGTTTAGAACATGCTAAATTAATGTTTAGATATCGATCGCATATTTTTGGATCTTCGAATGCTTTGAATAATTTCAACGTATACCGAGTATGGAATTCTGTATGTTTCGGGTAATTAACTTTCTATCAGAAGTACCTAATTAGTTTGACTTTAACACAACATTTCAAAAGTTTGTAACTTTTTTGTTTTTCCGCCGCGCCCATCGGCGTCCACGTTTCGCACCCACACAAGGCCGTGCTACAAGCAACACATAACAATAAATAATAATAATAATAATAATAAACAAAATAGCGTTTAGATTTTACTTTCGATTAAAATTCGTCCTAAAAATCGAAGGAAGGTCATGAAGGCATGCGGAAAATGGGGGTCAATTAGTTGCGTTCCTAAGACGGTCTGTAATATGGTACCTCGTGATGCAAGGTGAAGCTAACGGTTCACTTATGGGCTTGGCTATTCAAGATGGTCAATACAGAACCATCACGAGTTGTTATAACTGCCAGTCACAGTGGCACTAAAACCAGTTTCTTCCAATTAGGAAGGTAATTATTTAAGAAAATTGCGTTAGATTACTTCTGCTAAATAATAACATACTACATCGTACCATTTATCTGCTAAAAGAACAGTAAATTTATTGATTAAATAGAAGTTGAAACTATACAGATGGGTACTTTTATGGGTAATGTGATTACTTAGCAATACGTACAGTTTTAATTTAACAAAAAGAAACATAATAATTTATAATATTGTATTTGATTTATCGTCGTTATAAAGATGTTGACTGTTCTTAAAAAATGAATGGTTATTTATTAAATTGGAGAGTTTTTTATCTTTTTTATTGGTTGATTTTAGATACTTAGGAAGTCAGAGAAGTCAGGATGGAAGGAGTAGTAGGGATATAAAGCTTCTATGCTCGCGAATGGTTAATTTAGAAATTCGAAAAAGGTTGTTAAAGGTATATGTTTGGAGCACGGCATTGTACGGGTGCGAAACATGGACGATGAGCGCGGTGGAAAAGAAAAGGTTAGAAGCGTTCGAAATGTGGTGTTATATGCGGATGATGAGGATATCGTGGGTAGAAAAGGTTAGAAATGAAGAGGTATTGCAAAGAATAGGAGAACAGAGGACTCTATGGAAGTCAATAAAAAATAGGCGAGATAGGTTGGTAGGACACCTTCTTAGGCATGAAGGTCTAGTCAGAGACATATTAGAGGCAGAAACAGGAGTTAGGAGGGGTAGAGGTAGACCTAGATTAGATTACTGTTCGCAAATAGTTAAGGATGTGGGCTGTTCTAGTTTTAGGGAAATGCGAAGATAAGCTCAGGATAAGAAAGAGTGGAGGTGCGTGTCCAACCAGTCTTAGTACTGACGACCTTATGATGATGATGATTCACGATTATATTTTATCAACTAATTTTTTTCTTTCTTTATTATTAAGTAAATTACTTTTTACTAAAATATTTAAACTTGGTAAAGAGACTGTGATTGTTCCTCAGGTCCCCCGCTTTCTTTATTCGAATATTTTATAAGCCGATCATGTTTTATGTGGTTTGCTATTCGCGAGGTGTTTTTACCTACGTACGTAGAACATGTAAACCGTTAGTATTTAAAATAATACAATATTCAAGACATTGCTCGGCGAACAGCAATTTCTCTTTTATTGTTTCTGTTCTGTTTCCTTTGCAGTTTACAAAGTTAATAAATTAACTAATAACACGTACAAGAATGTATGATTCTAATGAAAATTTAATTGCAAATTCATGTTAGCGGAAAATGAAGAAAACGTTGAAGAAACAACTCGAAAAGTCATTTGTTGTTGTTGTAGAAAACAATTATATAGCCATTTATTAAAAATACATACCTTAGTTCTTAAATGGGACAAAGGTATGCACAAAAATTTTTACTAAAACGATTAATTAAATATTTTTGTGAACAAGATTCCCGATTTTTGCGTTTAATTTATTTTTCTTGTTTCAAAAGCAACGAATTTTTGTAGATTTTTAACAACCTTGTTCATTTCTATTTGTTTTTTTAAACATTCACTAATTAGCACGTTAATAAGTAGCTTTGTAATCATTAGACAAATGACCAACCTTTGCTGGGCGTCATTAGACCTTCCCCCTGGCTGCTGCCTTTCTAATAATTTAGCAATTGCGTTGAATTACTCATAGTTCTCAACTGTGATTGCTAATTTTTAGTGGTCTTTATATTCACTGAATTAATTACACGCTATTTTGAACTTTCTTTTATAAATAAAAATAATCCTTAAATGATATTTACCTGCGAGATCCTGCTGCTGAATTCTTCTTCAGTTAATGTTATCAGTTCATTGCCTGATAGGTTCCATTGTTCTGATGATGGAGAGGGTAAACCAAATTGGTTTGTGGTATATTTTAACCATGAAAAGACATTGGCTGAAGTCCATTGATAGGGATCTAGTAAAAAAAAAAACATAAACTATAATTAGGTCTCATACATTTGTTATATTATAAACAACTTAATTTAGATATCATCATCTTCCACTAAAGTTCTTTTTATAATTCAGTCCATGTTTCGGTTATTCTTTTAAGTATTTAACGCGTGCCGCTGTTAAAATTAAGCTTTCCGAAATTTTTGCGGTTATCTTAATAGGATATTTTTCAAAATCCGGCAGATTAGCAATTGTAATGGAATAGAATCTATAAATATAACTTGCAAAACATGGAATTTACGTCGGAGCGTGTGAGTTGAAAATGCACCGTCTACCTACACATTTACGGTTTAAACGCGTTGGTTGCTGGAATTACGTAAAGGAATTATCGCAAGGACGAATATGAATAAATCTATCGGAGGGAATACAATACTAATAAAATTACAACAATAATACATTACAATCGATTGTAGGAATCTTAATAAGTCGATTTTTTCATTAGCGTTTTTTTATTGAATAAACTATCGATAGCAATGTTAACCAAGAACAGATTTATTTCGTTGGGTAGGCAAGGTTATTATGAAACAAATAGTCGGAAGTGCAGAAATATTGCTGCTAATGGTTCTTTGTTTAAATACATTTACCTGATTGTGATAAAAACACGCTTTAAAACATTTAAAACGTGAATAACTATATTTAACTAGGTAAAAAAACATTACCAAAAACCATCTACAAAAATTAAATTATGTACTAGATGCATTAAAAAGTTAAGTGATGTTTTCCGTAATTTAAATTAATATTTATCGTCGTAAAATATTCAACAACGAAAATATAAAATTTCTGAAAGAATGCAGGACTTGTTGCACATTGTATCCTTATTTTGAGAAAAAATAAATCGGATAGTGACATAACTTTAGAATAAAGGTCAATTACAAATAAATACGTGTTATCTAATCAAAAGAAATGTCATGATCTGACTCACTGACTCATCAACGTTCAGGCTAAACTCTTGGGCCTAGTTAGCCGAAATTTCGTACAAAGGAAGGGTATTTCGAAATTCAACCCTTAAGGACTGTATTTCTGTATTTAGACATTTATTTCGGAGTTTTAAAAAACTGTAAGTCTTACCTTTAGGAATTCCCAACGTTTTGCATGTGTTATCGATGTCCTTCTTCATGTGTTCGATGGCGATTGTGAGAACAGGATCAATTTTTTCCCGTGGAAGTTGCTCTTCCGTGCATGTAATTTCGCTTTGTTCAGATTCTTCCATTTTAATTTCTCCCTCATGCAAGGGGAAATCAAAAGTTCTTATGTTATATCTCCTTTGAAAACTCGTATCTCTTAGCGCTTCCCTCAGAAGTTGATGGTCTTTAGGTTTTTCAGGTTGTTCTTCAGTTTTTTCGTACGATTGACAAAACAGGGATTCCCCAGTCTGAAAATCTTGTAGAATCGTCCCAAAATCGACGGAATTTTCTTGTTTTATCTGCCTGTCCAATGGAGTATTTTCCAAAAAATTATACAGAGCTTTCTCTGACGGGGACGTTTGTGTTTGAGGGGTTTGTTCGTTTAAATTTTGTTGCGAAACCAGACAGGAGTTGGTGGTTTGTAATTCCTCTTTTATGTAAGGGGGCGAATTTGTATAGAACACCTCCTTTTTTATAAGTTTCTGCTGTTGAAAATTGTCCGGAGACTGGGGATAAAATGTGGGCGAATGGGGATATAGAGATATTTCCGGAGAATTGGGATACAAAGTTTGATTGTCAGATAACGGCGAAGGGAATCCGGAATATTGACCGTTAGGAGACAATAAGGTTTGATAAGGAGACAACGAACCCGAAGAATAAGAACTTTTTGAATTTGGAACCTCTAAATAGATGCCACTCGTGGGTGGCGTTAAATAATTTTGTTCTTTTTTCGGTGGGTCGGGGGTTAATAGTTTCTGAAAATCGGGTCCCAAATCGATGTCGTTGTTTTCTGCGTTGTCGTTTAAAGTACTTGAATAAAATGTGGTGTAGATTTTTGGTTTTCCTCCGCATGTCGCGGGCGGGGGAGAGTATGTGTATAGGGGGGTTGAGGGTGACAAGTAGGGAGGATTATCCTCTTCTCCCGGCAAAAGACTCAGATCGAAACTCTCGGCGAACGTGCTGTAATCACACGGTGGGGTAAAACCCGCGGACGGTACTGTTTGAGGCATCTGTAACAAACAATAAGAAAATTAATAAAACGAAAATAGAAAAATTAGTAAATTAGAATTGAATTATTGTTCAACGTTATTTGATCTACAATTATTCTGTTGCCGTTTCAGAAATTTTATTAATTCATTTCGCGATTTGTTTTTAATAAAACCTGCGATGAAAGTTGTGTCGCTATTCGTTTGACTTTTTTTATTTTCTCGTCGAAAAATTTCACCATGAACTATTTAAAAGGTCTCAGTACGAACGTCTTTTAGAGGAAATTGACTGTCATACTGCGAAAGTGTTTCAAATATATGTATATGCGTCATCATTTTTGTTTGTTTATTCAAAAAACGAACTGCACAGGCATCATCGGTAACACCAGCCAGTCTAAATCCGTTACTAAAAATTTTCCCACTGAAAATGGGCTAGCCGTGGTCTATTTATTTTACACGAATCGGGAAAAAAATATATCATTACATCACTGAAACGTTGCCACTTACTTTTTTTATTATTTTTGTAATTTTTTTTCAATATTTATCCAGGTATCATCATATTTCCTTACCATGTAGTGTTACAATTATCATTAAAGAACTTAAGTCCTTAATTAAGTTTAAGAAGGTTTGCTCAAGTTGTAATGTTTCATATATAATAAACTTAATTAACGACCTAAGTTCTTTGATGACAATTGTAACAGTAGATGGTAAAGAAATATGATGATACCTGAATAAATACTTGATATATGTAAGTACCTGTAAGTAGTTTCTCAAAATTCATTAATTACATTCTGATGACACCTTTACAAATTGTACATAAACGTAATATTCTATAAAAAGATTTGACATAGTAGTCAAAAATTGCATTTTTTATTTAGTTAATGGCCTTTAAAATATGTTTTTGATTTACGGCTAGATTACGGTAGATAATTTAGTTCATCTTACTGTATTAAAGGAAAGAAATAAACGAAGCGGGCATTGTAGAATCCTTTTTAGGGAGGAAGCAACTATGGATTTGGGTCGATGTGGAAAAATGATCTAAATTAATTTGATTCGATTGAAAATAGACTCCTTTTTAGAGCGGAAGCAGTAACAGGTTTGCTTTTTCCTGAAGGAATCAACTAAATTAATTCGCTTCGATTGAAAATGTTAAATGATGGGAAAATTTCGGAAAATAAAATGCAAAGGGTAAGTGCGTTCTTCATGCAATAAATTGAACAAAGAAGCAGTTGAGAATGTTGAAGGACCAAGGAATTTTGACTCACCTATAGAAATCCATTTACCGTTTCCAACTATTTAAAAGTTTAATCACAAATGAGCTAACAACTAAACAACAAATAAAAAGAACTGATCCGTATAAATTCGTAACATGGACTAGCACAAAATAGATTTCTGTCTTTTGCATTCACGCATTTTCTTGTGGTTTATCTGTCCCTCTCTAAGTTTTGCGTCACCTTGACTTGAGTGAATTCACACACTTGCTTTATACAATAGAACAGCACATTTCGGCTATTGCCTCCACTATTATGTTACAAGAACATTTTACTGAATCATTCGTTCCTAGATGTGTGCTAGACATGTGCGTCAAACATAATGTCAATTCGCGATGTGACTTCTTTTTAGCAACTTTATATAAGTGACGGTCTAGTTAAGCCAAAATTCCTAGCTAGACATTTGCCCCACCCGCACATTCTGCAAAAAAGTTTTTATTTATCCAACATAAATGGTTTATTTAACATGTTTATGACGTCTTTGCATTCTATTTTTTTACGCAAGTTCCACATTTTTTTGTAGTCCCAAACATATATACTTAGCTACTGTATAAAATTTAAGAGCTTTTCGGTCGCATTGTCAAATTATTAATAAACTGACAAATACATTTTGAAGCTTTTCTTTTCTTTGCTTGATGATCTTGATCTATTTCGTATAATGTAATTTCTCAATAATTATCCATTCAAGTAGCAGAATAACTACTGTAAATTAGTCAACACAGTTTGTAATCTAAATATGTGCTTTTTCTGTTACTGTGAAGGGAATTATACAAGAACTAGAAGCCTTATCTATTCATTTTTAAGATTATTTATGATGAAAACTTCATACTCCATACCCAACTGAACGTTCAGCTTGATGATTAGATATTGGATTTGATATTGGGGAGGCTGACGTTTCCTTAAAATGTGAATGGGGGGGGGGGATATGTATAAACCAAGTTAAACAAAATGTAACTACACACTGCGTTACAATCTGCCTTAGTGTTAGTTAGCCGCCTTTGAAACCAGCACTGATTTTAGAAATGCTTAGGCAGAATTGAAAGAGGTGATTTATTTGAGCGGACAGGGAATACAGATACAGTTCTTTTATGTACAAACATCGGAAACTTCTTTCCACACTTGTGAAAATTATAATTAAATATATTTTAAAAGTATAAAAATTTAAAAAAAAACACGTAAACAATCGTGCTGTTCAACGCGTTTATTATAACCACAGTTTTTTCAAGATCGTCAACTTTATGAATTTGAAAGGCTATGAATTAGTAAGATCTCACTTTAGATTTGGAAAAACCGAGTAACCTTGGTGATGACGTACAATAGTACAACATTCAATACCTATGTCATAATATGACAAACATAACACGAGTATCATACACATATGCAATAAACATCTATCTGGTTATAACAAACTTTTATCGATTTTGTTAATGTTAAAACGTGAACGTTTTTTCAGCCATCTGGCATTTTTTTGTCAGTACACACATACGGCTACGTACAATTGTTGTATGTACAATAATAATTAGGTCCAGCTCAAATGGTATAACATAAATTATTCATTAATAAGGTGGACTTTCCAAACGACTTGTTTTTGTTATATTTTGAATGAAATTGACTTTTTTGTAAATGCAAAGTTCTTATATAATAAAAGGTAGGGTGGAGCCCACAATAACACTTTATGGGTTGAGTGATACATATACTAAATGTGACTGTTCATGACTGAACTTATTAATAAAATTCAGATGACAATAACTTGTAGATACTATTAATATTAATTTTTAACGTAGTGTTACAGGCGACTGATGAGGATACCGTGGATAGAGAAGGCTAAAAATGAAGAGGTATTAGAAAGAATAGGAGAATAGAGGATTCTATGAAAGTCAATAAGAAATAGTCGGGATAAGTTGATAGGCTAAATCGAGGCATATTAGAAGCAGAAACAGGAGTAGAGGTAGACCTAGACACAAATAGTTAAGGATAGGAAAGAGTGAAGGTGCGTGCCCAACCAATCTTAGGACTGACGACCATATGATGATGATGTTGACTATTAGTGGACACAATAATTATTTAAACGAAATGATATGGGACAATGTTTCTGTTCTTTAATTTATCAAAAATTCAGATGTTTATATGCTACTTTTTATTTTATCCCTAATACCAAATGTAGATATTTTTTCCTGATTTTCGCGGATAACAAAAGCTCAACATTCTCTCTCGGTCAAGAAATTTACTCCTTATTAGAATAGGATCTTAAAAAACACATAACTGAACTTGAAGCTTTGTTTTGTTTAAATTTCTTCCCAATTAGTCGAATTATGCTAATCTACGCAGTATAATATTACACGAGATGAACTTTAGAAGTACAAATCAAAATTCGCTTTTTATTTAATAGATCTTATGACTAATATAAGAAGGTTTTAGACCAGTTAAAGCTAAGACTTTCTCAAAAATCGGAATAAAAACAATCAAGAAATAGACAGACCAATTTCCTCACCCTGTTCCTTCCTTGCGTATAAAGGATTCCCGAATACTAAACAAAGCTCCGGTAAACAATGAATTGCGCTCATTTATCATTTGTTTCAATTAATTTACCCATTATTACTTTTATCTAAAAAAAGTGAATCGTACCTACACATGTAGATACGTATATGATATTGGTCGCGTTTCTTTGATGGTTATTACTGTTATTACTGACCAATGGCTACCATTCCGGTGGAGCGTTCTCTAAGTGGGTCAGTTTTAATAGCGTCAGCATTTTACCTCTTTCTTTTCGTCAGAGCGCACGGTAATTATTAACTTTCACTTCTTGATGGTTCAAATGTCGTTTCTGGAAATTCCTCAATCTCTTCGTAACTTGTTCGGCTTGCGTTACAGCAACAATTAATATGGTTTCTACATTTTTTGTTGCCCAAAGTTACACAACACGAGGGTCAGGACCGTACTGAATCATTGGAAGGAAGATGTTAAACGGATCTTTTACTTATATATACGCAAATGACTTCAAGAAGCTATCAGGATGATATTTGAGACTAATCTTTTTTAATATTTAATAAATTATTAAGAAAATAATAAACTTAGGTAGTAGAAGTTTGCAATGCATCACCACTCGAATCCCTACGTATCTTTAAGCGCGCGTTTTAATCACGCGTGATCCCTGTGGCCGATCGTTCCGCATCTTTTTTCAATGAGCATAGGATACTGGGTAGTAAAATTCCTTTGTCAAAACACGAAACAAATTCCACTCATTAAACTTTGAAATATTTAAGAAGGATCATGGAAACCGAAAAATAAATTTCTTTTGGTTCAACATTTCTAGTTTAAGAAATGGAACATTAGATAAGTACGCATTAAAATGCTAGACGATTAGATATCTTAATTTATAATTTTTCCACTAGTGAGTAAAACTGAAACTAATTAGATGTATAATATGGTAATGCAGCATCTAATATAAATTTTTATTATTTATGTTGCTGTTGTTGAAAACATAATCATATTTGCATCTTTGTAATAATATGCGGCATACTTGTAAACAACAATAGAGTAAAACACTAAATCATGAAGATACAGTATTAAAAAAATACGTTAATTAGTCGCATTTATTTTAATGTGGAATTTATGAACGGTAAAGTCGTTATTTTATCTAACGAATTTCTCATTGGATATCGAATCAAATTAGTTCTTAATTAGTTTAGTCTTGAAGACAATTGAGATATCTTTTTATCCATTTTGTTAAGTATATAACACATTATGAAAGCTCGATGTATATAGTTTAAATAATAATTAATTGTAAAAATAACAAAAGTCAGAGGTTTTTAGAAAAAATGTGTTCACTACGGTTACAGGTCATGTTATCATTAAATGCAAGGTCGGGGTTCATACCATTGATAAGCTGCTTACTTTGCATACGGGAGCTTATGTGTGTGCCATCAATAAATAATAATCGAACAACAAATTTAAAAAGTTTTTAAAATACTGTGTGTTACAAGTTATAAAACAAAAATAAAATGTGAAATAACCTGACGATATAATCCAGTAAATATTTGAAATTTTGCGTACAAAAACGCTCATAAATTCCAAATTTTATTTTATTTAATCGTTAAAAACTGTTTATGTAGTTTCCTTTAAACAAACAATTTACATACGTGGGTGTGTATGTTGAGAGCGTATTTGTATGTATAAACATGCCTTCCAGCGATTTCCACATTTATAGATAGATGTACATAATCGCACAAAAACAGTAGAATCATTAGCTCATCGCCATATAGAGAAGCAAAATTTTAAACAAAAAAAACCAAACACCAAATTTTAAACGCCTTACCGTGTCATCAGACTCCCTATTTCTCGTCGATAGTACCATGATGAAGATGGACGATATAGCTTTCGAAACGTCAGGCAGCAAACACAAAAATCGCGTTCACGAAATAACCATCTGACAATGCACTGTTCAAAAATCCTACGTATTTAATTTTTCGCGCATATGGCAACGAGAAAAAGATAAAAACCAAAAAAAAAAAAGATCAGCAAAGGAAACCGCCTGATTGTAACTTAAGTCAGTCCTGCTCAAAACGCGTCTGCCGATCCGAACTTCATAGTGGCTTTCAACTCAATGTGGTAATTCTTCTTTCTACACTAGCGGCCTACTTTAGCCTTGCAGCCAACAGAGCCAAGAACAAGTGAAAGATAATGTGTTTGTTGTTGATGGTCAGGCAAAGTTAAGCAGTAACAAACACCGTCTTAACTCTTGCTGTACCTGTATGCATGTGTTTTAAAATTAAATCGTTATTGACACAGTGGCAGAACGCATGGGATTTCAAAAAGGACAATACTAACCGAAAATCGAATATACTCAGGAAGGTAATTAATAAGAAACACTTAACAAAAATTAAACATGACAAAAGTTCTGTTGAAAATGTATTAAAGAATAAATTGATTAGTAATAGTAAACACTGGATTATATGAACTGAAAAATGCTTAAAATGTGTTTAATGATAAAGGTATGAACTGATATGCCACATCCAGCATCGGAGTTGGAAGGACTTCTAGAGAAGCTTGTTACTCACTCGTGAAACGTTAGACAGCAACTCCAATCGACGATGCCCTTTAGACCTGAATCAGGACCGCATATCAGCTATATTTAACCTTTGTATATGAAGGAACTGCCCGTGACTGGCTGATTAACTGATGGTAAACGCACAGCCGAAACTATTGGATCGATTTGAATGAGCTTTTGATATCATATTCTAAGGTAAGGGCGCATTAAGAACGCGGATTTTGCGAAGGGGTTGCAAAAGAAAAACAAAGATTCACAAATTGAAAATGTGTGATTGGAAAAGGTAACAAAATTCTATAAAAGTCGTATTTCTTAAACTTTTCGTTAGAATCATGATTCTTGAGTTATAAGCAGTATTAAATGTTTACCATTTATACCTACTGCGAACAAATGTGGTTACATTTATAGTAAATTGGCGGTCTCATTTAAATTTGAAGAAAATATTCCACCTCTAAGTGTGGAAAATCTTTAAGGGTGGAAAATCAGAGAATTTTTCCGATATTACTTTTTCAGTGAAATTCGTAGGAACGTACGGGCAATGTATCGAAGAGTCGGTTTTTATACAACATAAAAAAACAAACCTAAAACGACCACATGTTATCTAAATGTAAAAGTTTACAAATCATTTTATAGGTTCCCTTATTTCTCAAAATCAAAGTTCTTTCTAGCCGTACAGGTAAATGATTCTCTCGCCTTAGAGAGACTTGATTGCATACAATTTAGTGCAACTTTATTTCAAGAATGTTTCCAGTCTGAAAACGTAGGATTTTATTAAAAGCTGTGGCAAAGTCTAAAGCCTACTTATATTACGTTTTAAAACTTCGAGAGTCGTGATTATGTTAATTAGATGTACGATTTTTGAATGCGCGTTAATTGTTACTATGAAGGTAAATATCATTTCCTCATTGTTTAAGTTAGACATTTCCGGACTATTTCTAAATTACAAATAATAAAACCTGTTTCTTTATGTTGCATGATTGATCAAAAACCACGACTTCAACTAGATCAAAAACAAAATCATTCGTTTAACTCTCTGGGAGGTATAAATAAGGTCTTCCACCATGTAGATTTTGTCTGCGATAAACCTTGAACAGTGAATGGAAAACATATTATGGATTTCAACATTTTGTTTATGTTACTTATTTTTTAAAAATTGCTGTTACAAAAGAAACACAATTAATAGATAGTTATAGGATTTATTTAGTGGATGCAATCGATGATAATTGCATTCACGACTAATTGTGATCATTAAATTATGTAAATGGGAACTAATGACAAGGTTAATAATTTACCTAAAATATTAATATTTATCGTACACTTTTTTATTGTTCCGATTCTAACATTTTTATGTTAATTCATTCGTATATAAGTGTAGAATTTTATTCCAGTTATCATAAAAAAAAATAGTCTAAACTAAATCATATTGCTAAGTCTAATACATACCTTCGATTTTACTGGGTCTCTCTGCAGCATGTACAACTACAAAATGATCTCTTTTCACTTCAAGATCGTTATGACAAATGCCAATTTTATATGATTAGAAAACAAAGTATTTCAATTAGTTAAAAAAATAATTATAATAATACCTATAAATGGTATACGACAATAGTGGGATTGACGAAGTTACACCCATTTATCCAATCATTCATTCATTCATTCATTCATTCATTCATTTGTTTATTGCAATTAAACTAATTAATTAGTTTCACAATCAGTCTTCTAATCCATTGAAAATGGACTTTCACTAAGTTTTTGTTTGATGACGTCCGAAGTTTGAGAAATATCGCGCTGCATGCGTATATACACGAGTAGAAAAAGCAGTTAAATGCAACTAATGACAAAAAATTAAAATCACGCTCACAATATTTATTATCCGGCATAAAAGTTTAAACCAATAGAATATCACATGAAAGTTAGTTGTGCGTTGAAACGACTATGGAAAATCGATATTGTGTAATATGCTATAAAAAATCACTGATGATGTTTTCGGTTTATGTAAAATTAAATAGAAAGTATTCCTTACTTTGATACATACATATAGAGTTATCTGTGCCATATCGGTGACAAACATATTTCTTAATACTATCAAAATAAGTAATCAACAAAATTTCGTAAACAAGTGCAGTTTTGTTATTTAAAAAGAGTTATTTTTATTTTAAGATTGGAAAATAAGAAATAAGAAAATTCCGTAATCGTTATTAAATAAGAAAGATGTTATCTAATAAAATTAATAAATTATTTGTTAATCTCATTTTTTCAAGTTTTTTCTCAAATAAGTATATGCATCTGTTTAATAATTTCGACTATTACTTGGTGAAAATCCATAATATCGAACAAGTAACGCAACTTAAAAGAATTTTTTTGTAAAATACGTTTCACCAAGCATTGGTTGCAGAGAGTAGTCTCCCTGAAGAAGCCAATGTTAGAACAAGTCAATAGCAATATTAAGTTGCATATTATTTTAGACGACTTAAAAGCTTTTGCTCGGATTATACACACATTTCAATGGTCGAACAATTGGAAAACTAAACACTGATATAATAGTTTAAAACTTTATTATACACAATCATCAACAAGCTCGTTTTTACAATTGCCTAATAATAAAATCTATGTACAAAAATATTAAATAATTCTTAAAACAACCAAGTATAATAATAACAATATTTGAAGAAGTTTCTAATCGGCTTATCAACCTTTTCCATTCGATGCATTGTACTGTAAATGTAAACCAGTCAATACATCGTGAAGAAGGTCAATGAATACCATTCTACATATATAGTTAAATAACAGCGATACCATGAAATGAACCAAAACAAGAAACGATAGAAATATTAAACAGCTAAAGAACAGAGACAAACACGTGTGATCCAAGCATTACTCGGTTTTACTTCACTTCACTTTCAGGTGATAAAGAGAGCTTCATTTGTATATGTTTACATTTAAGTGACTCCGTATATGATTTACACATAATCAGTCAATTTTTCCCATAAAAATGATTGCTTTTGGATCCGTGACTGACAAAGTTAGTTGTCAGTCTTGTAATTTTCGAAAACGTTTAAAAAATTTTAAAATTTTACTCTTCGTTGTTGAGTGCAGAGCAAACGGAGTGGACAATGAATCGAGTTGATATGCAAATTTTTTTAAGACACTCGCGCTAAGAACTAACTCTCGCTCGTTTAAATATAGCACAATAATTATTCAAACTTCATCCTGGTCTGTTCGAATTACTATATGAGCTGCTGTATTTTCCGACTTGTCTGGATCCGGATTGAAGGAGCGTCTGGAAAGACGTGGCTGCGCCCTGTAACGTAAAACAATTCTCTCAGGCTTCGTATAAATTCTTAAATAATTATAATTTATTTATTTGTTTATTAATTGCAGCACTCATTGCAAAAGCGCCTTACGCCTACATGTAGCTGAACTATAGGTAGTGGAAATTTTTCTAATACCTGCCTGTCATTTTTCATTGCTAACTCTATTAATTAAACAATAAAATATTGACATATATTGGCTTACAATAGGTTATGTAGAATGCCTAAAGAGTTTTGCATATTGCTTAGTATAGTTTTTCTTTTTAAATAAAGTTTCTGTAGGATTTTCCGATTTAATATTTACGTAGTTCGTTATTAGATTTGTCTTTAAGTGTATCCTGGTGCAATATGTGGCTGTTCAAAAAAAAGAAATAGGACAAATATTGAGATTAGAGCGATTTGGGTTGACTTACGATTAACTAAATTATTTTTACGTTTAATTGTGATAGCTGAAACTTGTTATCAATAATCACCTTATTTTCTGTTCCCAAGAACTAAACGCTCGCGCCATACATTATAAGGAAATCTAAAGCTTTCGTAAAAAATGGATTGAGTATTGGCACATCATAATTCAGACCGATTTCTCAAAATTAATTTTATCATTATGTGATTTATACTAACTTCTAATAGATTGAAATAGTTTTCTTGTGTAAGTTTTACCTATAAAAAAATTGATATGAATTTAGTTCCTGCTGCCAAAGCTCGCAAAGCTTTTACTTTTCAATAATATCAATTCAGAAATTAGTTTTATTCCGTGTATAACACAAAAATTATGTTTCTTTTAATTTGTTACCCTCTGTAAAAGCAAATAGAACAGAATTGTACTCGGTTATTTTACTTTTTAGTCAATACTCTAGTAATAATTCGCTATTTTCGCTAGCTTTTTTGTTTCTTCGAAATGTACTACCGTCCGGTTGTGATAATTAATTGTTTACACTATTAGTAAAAGCGTTTGTAAAATCAGTTCTAATGAATTAATTTTAAATTAAGGTCATTTTTTGTTTTAAGCGAAATTGTCGAAGAATTTTAATACTTCTACGATTATAAACGCATACACGGGCAGGACCAATATATTAAGGTGAAAACAAGTATTTCTTATGCAATACACAGAACTGAAAATGTTGTCTGTTCAAGTCAAGGACGAATAGACAAAACTATTAATAGGTACTTCTTATTATTCTGTTTTAAGGTGAAGGCAAACTAATTGGGTGTTAGAAATCGTGTCTTTAGAAGCATTTTCTAGATACCTGTACGATTACCATTTTGATACAATTTTTTATTTCAGACTTTTGTAGCATTTATATAATTTTGAGAGACTTATTGTGATTAGTCAAAAGGTTAAAGTTGTGCGCTAAAAGAATAAACTCTACAAAAAGGTATAAATCGTAAGAAAAACCTAACAAGAGATTCCTGTAGGTGCTCTTATGTTATGTTTCTCCTTAGACTGAAAGCATTTTAAGAATTTTAAAGTCCTTCATAAGCACATACATAAGCTTTTTATTTTTTTTTTAAGCAGCATTTTCGCGTTTGCACTTATTTTGCTCTAATCTAACAATAAATCGTTTACCCACACCTAAAGTAAATGTAAAGTGTTGTTTAGTGTAAACGTGGGTTCTTGTCTAGCTTTAGCAGCCCATCCACAAGCATTAAAACATCTACTGTGTTTCTGTCCAAATTTTCAAAAACTTACCGCGAAATTTCTGTTACTGGCTGCTTTTGTGTTTGTGAAGGCCACTGTAATAGATTTAGATTTACAAGCATACTTTTTTACCAATCATTTTGTTATGAAAATCTTCGCTCGAACCAATTATTGTTTAGAATCAAAAGAATAGAAATAAAACTTTAATTGTTTCCTGTTTTTGCCGAAATATCGATTTATATAAAATAAGTCAGTGTATAACGTATAAATGACTAAAAAAGGTTGAGGCTATTTTGAAAATTACTACAAGTGATGGTAATTTCAAATGGAATGATCTATTTTGTTTGTTTAAAAATGTTAATTAAGTGCAAATAGATAAGTTTGCTCAAGAGAATTCTTAAAACTAAACACGAAAGAAAACCATATGCGAAAAGTGAATCAGTGACGTACTTTTTAGCTTAGTTTACGTCAGTAACAAATGCTTATTGCATCAGTAGGTACTCAATACTTTCTGATTTTTTTTCTTATCATACGTAATCCATGGATCAAATACATGAGACAATTGCCTTTTTTCTTGAGAGAAGCAAAAAAGTAGAAGGGAATTCTGTAATATATTGTATATTGATTTAACCGCAATGATTCATACGATTTAGAGATCAACTTTTCTATTAATAGAAGTTCAATAACGATCGGTATTCTTCAGTATTGTAGATGTTTAATCAGTTTTCTGTGAATACGTAGCCATGCAATGTATTATAATCAGAGATATGCAAAATAGTATCTAAATACAAAATGCAAATAATTTTTTGATTTGTTATTTCAAATTTAAAATTTTTCTAGAGTAATAGTGGTGTTTGCACTGTATCGCCAGCTGCAAAGATTAAGTACGATTCATATTTTTCTTTTTGAAGTGATTGAGATATAGTTTTTCTATCTTTATGTTATAGTTTCTTCAGTTCAGCAACAAATAATTCTTCTGTACGCTTCGTTATTTGTCTTTGTCACCCGTTTTAATTGAAAAAAAGACTGATGTCAAAATAATTCTTTAGCGTGAAAGATCTCAGCCAAAATCTGATTATGATAATTGTATTGTATTTTTGAAATAAATAATATCTATTATTACGAGCTAAACGGCTGTAGCAAAAGAAAACCACAAGCCCCCGATATTCCCGAACAGGACTAAATCTTAGAATACCCTGTATATAAAACATCTTTGCCTTATATTACATACATCGATTGTTTAACTAGAATTGCAGTCTCCAGTAGTTTTTTTGTGTACTTGTAATAGTTTTTCTAATTCTAAGGATCCTGTCATTTTGTAAACATAGTTTTCCTTGAAAAATACAGGCGATTTAATTAATGCCTGTTTATTTGAAGGTTTAAATATCTTAAGTAAGACCTTTTTGTTATTTTATGCGACCGAAGTAATGATTAATTAATTAGTTAGTGTGAAAAATAAGTGGATCTGAATTAAGTACAGGCAACAAGCCACCTGATGGCAATTCGCGGAAAGCAAGTAGCGTGAGATTAAAAATTGAACTCGTTTACCGATTTTAAAATTAACTCCTCGATGTACTTGGTTTTTTGGTCGAACCTGATCTTAGAGTTTTTGCAGCATCCTATAAAAAGTAAAAATAAACATTTGTTCTCTTATTGTCAACAGAAAGCATTCTACGCCTTCTTAGAATGATATTTTAGAAACAGGAACAAAAAAATACCTCAGTTTAAGAAACAAAAGAACACAATTAAGATTTGGTATTGAATAGTGTAGTGTCTTGTATGTTTAAAGTAAATTAAATTGAGATGCGATTATAAAATTTAATTATAATTAAAGGGGTACCTGTAGCGCAGATCCCAGAAAATTGGAAATGGCTTTGGTAACATTAATGGCTGCATTAACTAATTGACCTCTGACCGGAGGCTGTTCTTGTCCCAGTCCAGGCACTGGATCCAAGCTGACCGGTGGAACCGGAGTGTCTTCATAATCACTTCCGGCGTTCGAAATAAAATTACTGACGCTAACAGGTCTCGCTGTCGTGTACCTCGCAGGTCTGCTAATCGCCGGAGTGATAATTTCAACTTTCGTTGGTTCATTCAAATTGTCATTTTCTTTAACGCGGATTTTCTTTTGTTGTAACTTGAGTAAGGTGAGGTCAAGTTCAGGGCCACCTTTACCGCTTTTCTGGATCTTTTCGAGTTGACCGATGACATTGTCCAATTGCTCTGCTGTTAAAGAGTTTAGTGATTTTTCCAGATCAGACAGCGGTTGTTCAGTGGTGCTTCGCACCGATCTAGTCGTTTGCGAAGAAACAGTTGATTTGGTGACGACAGCGGATTGTTTTGTTGCTGCAGGATGTACTGATTTGGCAGGTCTCGCGGGAGGAACTGCGGTCCTTTCGGGCGAGAATGCATTCAAGATCCAACTTAATCCCTGCATCAGGGGACCTCGACTCGGGGGTGCAGCAGACGGTGGAATGACCCTCTGCCTTCTGGTTGTTGAAGGCGGAGGTGGTCTAGGTGTTGTGGTAGTGGGAACTTCTCTGTCGAAAATTCCCTAAAATACAAGACAAATAAACTTAGTTGTAGAACACCACAGGAAAGTAGGTTCGATTATTACCGCTAATCTAATTCGGTCTGCTAGGGATTTGGGAGTTGTGGGTCCAATTCCATTTTCTTTAAGAAGGGATGCTAACAAGGCATCTTCAGATCTTCCGTATGTGGTTCTTGGTAATGCCGTTGTAATTTTTTCCATGTTGACGGCGTTGATTTGCTTCAAAAGATCCGCTATACCAATTCCATTAGGTCCGTCTGCCGATACCTTCTTTTGTTCTTTGAAGCTACTTGATGGTATCGAATCCAACAAATTCTGAGGGCTCGCAGTGGAAGATAGTTTTGGTTTTTCATCAATCACTTTAGAACCTGTCAGACCCTACAACAATTATAATTTTAGTTTGTTTTCTGATTGTGACCAATATTAATTTTTACCTTTTCGATCTGCTGTCCGGGAAGCTTAACTCCTTTTATGCCACCTTGCTGAAGTAAATAAACTCAATTTTAATATTTTAAGTGCTTTTAAAATAATATAGGTTGAGATAACGTACCAAACCTGCCAAATTGGCCAAGAATGAAAGTTGCTTCATAATGGCTTTCTGTTCTCGTTCCAACGCTTCCAGTGTTAGTAAATCTCTTCTTTGTTCTTCCGTGAGATTCTTTTTCTTTAATTCTTCGTAGTTTACACCGTCCACATCAAAAGATGATGGTCTAAATGTGGGCCTTGGAGTAGTAGTGGTAGTTGTAGTTGTTGTTTTTGTGGTGGTAGTAGTGGTTCTAGTTGTAGTAGTTGTTGGAGTGGTAGTGGTGGTTGTTGGGGTTGTTGTTGTAGTCCTTGGTGTTGTTGTAGTCGTTGGTGTGGTCGTGGTAGAAGTCACCACCGATCCAGGTAGAGCAACTCCCTGTAATCCCCTACCAAAAAGTAGTTGTTCCAACAAGGTTAAGACTTGTGGATTAATAGCTTGAGGATTCAATTGTGCCGGAGTGAGTTTTGGAGGTGGTTTGGAATCATCTGGAATAGATGTCGAAGACTGATAACGGGGAGGTACAGCAGATGTGCTACTTGTGCGTTGTTGGAAGACAGGGGACACTGTTGCAAGACTTCGGAGAATATCATGATCTACTGTAGATATCGTGGACGGTAGTTTTGGTGTTGTTGTAAGCAAAGTAAATTTAGGAATCTCTGGTTCTTTTGGTGGAATAGGTTTTGCCCTTATAACAGTCTTGAAGATGTCATCTTCTAAATTCAGAGGAATTGCTGATACAGTGGGTAATGATTTTTGGATATATCTTTCGGTGGATTGGGTTGTAAATACAGGTTTTGTAACTCTTTCTGAAGGCGATATTTCGTTAGCAATAACAGCGTTTCTGATAATGTTAGCTAACGATTCAGTCGCTGGTACAGATTTGGGACTCGTATTGATCGAGCTGATATCGTTTGTGGCTTGTTGTACAGGTCTCCCGGAAGGTATTATGCGTCTAAACAAGCTATTTAAAAGTTCCAATTCGTTAGCTTCACTGGAATGCGGAGACGCTAACGTTGTCGTTGAAATGCTGCGTTTCGTACTTGTAGCAACTGAATCGGGAACTGTCCTACTGGAATATTCTGGAGGAGGTTTTGCTGTGATTATGGTTCTGAATATGTCGTCAAAGATTCCTGATGGTGATGGTGTTGTGTTCTTCTCAAAGGCAGCAGTCACCTTAGGGGACGCCACAGCTTCGATGCTGTTGTAAGTGCTTGATTTTGAACCAGCTTTAAAAATAGGGGTTGTTTCTTGAGGTTTGGCAGTGGTGGTAATAAAGTGTGGAGTGGTAGGCGGCCTTACAGTTTGCGTTTGGAACGTTTGAAGGGTGGAGAACAACGTGCTAAGGAAACTGGGAGGTCTGTAAGCAGGTGTAGTGGTTGTAACGACCCTACGCTTTGTAGGTGTTGGCCTAGGAGTTGTTGTCGTGGTGGTGGTGGTCGTTGTGGTTCTGGTTGTTGGAGGTCTGGTTGTAGTTGTTCTAGTTGTAGTAGTTGTTGGAATTGGAGTTGTAGGTGTAGTAGTTGTGATAGTTGCTGGTGCCATTGTAGTGGTGGTAGACGGACTTCTAGTAGTTACACTTCTAGGAGTTGTCGTTGATCTTGTTGTGGTGGTTGATATTTTCCGTTGAGGGCTTGTGACACTTAATGGGGTTGTAGTAAAGAACCTACTGCTTATGGGGAACACCACAGTTGTACTGCCCTGCGTCTAAAAATTGACACACAACGATGTTCGTGAGCAAGTACGTTTATCAATTTTGAAAAGAATATTAGCATTAATCCCAGAAAAATTATTTATTTTTTTACTGCGTTGACGAAAAAGTTTAGGGGAAATCGCAATAATANATTCAGAGGAATTGCTGATACAGTGGGTAATGATTTTTGGATATATCTTTCGGTGGATTGGGTTGTAAATACAGGTTTTGTAACTCTTTCTGAAGGTGATATTTCGTTAGCAATAACGGCGTTTCTGATAATGTTAGCTAACGATTCAGTCGCTGGTACAGGTTTGGGACTCGTATTGATCGAGCTGATATCGTTTGTGACTTGTTGTACGGGTCTCCCGGAAGGTATTATGCGTCTAAACAAGCTATTTAAAAGTTCCAATTCGTTAGCTTCACTGGAATGCGGAGACGCTAACGTTGTCGTTGAAATGCTGCGTTTCGTACTTGTAGCAACTGAATCGGGAACTGTCCTACTGGAATATTCTGGAGGAGGTTTTGCTGTGATTATGGTTCTGAATATGTCGTCAAAGATTCCTGATGGTGATGGTGTTGTGTTCTTCTCAAAGGCAGCAGTCACCTTAGGGGACGCCACAGCTTCGATGCTGTTGTAAGTGCTTGATTTTGAACCAGCTTTAAACATAGGGGTTGTTTCTTGAGGTTTGGCAGTGGTGGTAATAAAGTGTGGAGTGGTAGGCGGCCTTACAGTTTGCGTTTGGAACGTTTGAAGGGTGGAGAACAACGTGCTAAGGAAACTGGGAGGTCTGTAAGCAGGTGTAGTGGTTGTAACGACCCTACGCTTTGTAGGTGTTGGCCTAGGAGTTGTTGTCGTGGTGGTGGTGGTCGTTGTGGTTCTTGTTGTTGGAGGTCTGGTTGTAGTTGTTCTAGTTGTAGTAGTTGTTGGAATTGGAGTTGTAGGTGTAGTAGTTGTGATAGTTGCTGGTGCCATTGTAGTGGTGGTAGACGGACTTCTAGTAGTTACACTTCTAGGAGTTGTCGTTGATCTTGTTGTGGTGGTTGATATTTTCCGTTGAGGGCTTGTGGCACTTAATGGGGTTGTAGTAAAGAACCTACTGCTTATGGGGAACACCACAGTTGTACTGCCCTGCGTCTAAAAATTGACACACAACGATGTTCGTGAGCAAGTACGTTTATCAATTTTGAAAAGAATATTAGCATTAATCCCAGAAAAATTATTTATTTTTTTACTGCGTTGACGAAAAAGTTTAGGGGAAATTGCAATAATACAGATGAAACGCCAAATAGTAAAATTATCTAATATTAAGTTTTCCACAGCATTCACCGCCCTTTGTGGATAAGTAAATATGTTATTAATTTATGAAATATATTAAAAAATTAGTTGTGAATAGAAGAAGACCGAGTGTATATACAGAGAACAACTGATTAGTTAATTGTTATCAGTTATCAGTATATTTTTAAAGTCTTGCCTTTGCTTTTGATTTCTTAGTTACCGGTTTCCAACGGTGTACAACATGTTTAGATACTTTAACAGCTTTTGTGATAACACGATTGGTCTGAGGAGTAGGATGTTTTTTATTTTAATACCATAAAAGCAATAAACATTTCTCCATGAATTTATTACTCACCTTCGGGTCCACTTCTAACGTTTGGTATTTAAAAACTTCGTTTTCTGACGGCGTCTTGTTAAGAATATTGTTAAATTCTTTTACAGTCTTACCACCTAAGATATTACTCAAGGGTGGTAGCGTGGTAGTTTCTTCCAAGTTAGCGCTTGCGGTAACGGTTGTCGTATTGGTACCAGGCGCCTCCACCTAAAATATACGCGTCTATGAATTATCATTTTTTTGTAGAATTGCTTTCGATAAATGATTCATTAAATGTAATATTTATCATTGTTAGAGGAGCAGAGGAATGAATGCAAAGGAAAAGTTAGCAAAACACCGTAGTTTTTTTAAACCATTTGAAAGAAACACATTCCCAAAACCATTTCCAAAAAATACCAATTAACAGCAAAAAATAAACAAATTATGTATAAGCTTCCATGCACTATTTACAATGGAAATTCAAACTTTTACGAACAAACTATAGCTTTACTACTTAAAATAATTTTAAATATACATTTCTTTGTTTTACTTGTTCAAAATAGAAACAAATGCTGAAAGCATATATTTGTTTTTTATAAATACCAATGCCTGTGCAATTTTGTGCAGAATTAGTTGAGTCAGCAAGTTTAAAAAACAAAAAACAAACAAGATAAACCACCACCTTGTAGTTATTTACAGTGAATACCATGGGATCAGTCATATTATCCTGCCGGGGGTCCTGGTCAGAGGTTACCTGATTACTGGTTATTTCTGGCGGGGGCGGGGGGATTTCACGCGTATCAAATCCATTCACCTGTATAACTGGTTCTTCGGGAACCAAACTCCCATTGGGGAATTTCTGAACGAGTGTGTTATTGGGCAGTATTGCCCTTATTATAAACGGTGTGTCCCTTGTTGGATATATGCTAGGCCGTTTACGTAAGATAGTGTTATTGTTTAATACAGCAAAGATGAAGAAATCTAAATTCGATCTAGGTGGCATAGTACCGTTATTCATATCAGTCATAGTATTAGATTCTTCAGTCGTGTCAATATTGTCAGTAGAAGAATTAGTGTTAGAGGTGGTTGAAAATACGTTAAATTCCGTTCCGATTGTTGAAGATACCTCAGTAGAAAGGCCTACAGTAGATGCTGCATCTGTACTAAACTCGTTTGTAAAAGTAGTTGATGGTAAAACAAAAGTAGACTCAGGAAATTCAGTCACTCCAGTAGTAACTGAAGGTGAATCTATAGTACTCGATTCCGCAGATAACTGCGAGGTTACGTCAGGTAAACTGGTCGTCAAAATACCGTCTCTTTCAGTAGAAGAACTAATGGAACTAGGAGTTGTACTAGTTTGAGAGTTGGTAGTTAGATAAGGGAAGAGATTTCTACTAAATATAGAAACAGCGGAATCAAATTCTTCAGGGGTGTAAGTGCTTGAAACATCGTTGGCCGAAAATACACTGACGCTACCTGGACTCACTTCGAACTTAGTATGTTCTGGCACTGTCACTTTGGTGGATGGAGTTGATGCGGTGGTACTGCTTTGAAAAGTGGTTGTTTTAGGAGTTGGAGTGGTAGTTATACGTGATGTCGGCGAAGCAGGATAATTAAACAAAGAATTGAAGAAACTCAAAGGATTTCCCGTAGTTGTAGCGGGTGTGGACGGTACAGTATTAGGCAGCGAGAATCCTTTCGAAGTGGGAGATACCGTAGGAGTCGCTGGATTAAATAGATTACTCAAGAAGTCTAAAAATCCAGGGCTGTAGGTAGTTTTAGGGATCGCTGTAGTTGTTACACGCGTGGTGGTAGGTTTAATCGCCGTAGGCGGTGTTGTTTCTAACGATCTGAATATAGCCGGGGTACTCAATGTTGCCAAACTGGAAGACGTACTAGGAAAAGGAGTTGTAGTCGTTTGTGTTGTACGACTGGGAGTTGTAGGAGGCATTGTAGCCAACAACTTAAATATCGAAGATATACTTAAAGGCGATAAACTGGAACTTGTAGTAGTAGGAAATTCGGTAGTTGATATTGCAGGTGCCGCAGTAGTAGTAGTAGTAGCAACAGAAGATGTAAATGGTGCAAAGGTAGTAGTTGACACAACGGAAGAGGCCGATGGCGTAACAGTAGTACCCTCATCCGAAATAGTACTTTGTACACTTGAAGATTCTTGAGTAGTTATAGTATTGGAACCGGTTGTGGTAGCAGAAGTCGTAGTTGAAGTCAAAGGTGAAACAGATGCTGGGTAAGACGGAAATCCGAAAGAAGCGAACGTTTTCGCCTTATTGGGGGCGTTGGTGGTTGGGGTGTTTATAAGTTGTGTAATTCTAGAAATAATATCCTGAAGTCTATTCGATAATGTGGGAACTGAATCAGTAAATCCTCTCGTTGTAGCAGTAAACCCACTGGGAGAAGATTGAGTTGGTGCAAAGACAGTTGACGTTGTTGGTGGGCTTGTTGTCATGGTAGACTCTGTAGGCAGTGTACTCGGTACGGTGGTGGTAGCTGTAGAAGCGCTGGGAGAAGGTTGAGCAGGTATAAACCGAGACGTAAATGGGAAAATTGAAGACGTGGTACCACCGGAAACGATGTTATTACTAACATCAGCTGGTAGTTCGACAGAAGATGTTGCACCAATCGATCTTAAGAATTCGTCCAAATTTGTTAATGGTAACGATGTGGTACTACTAACAATTCGTTCAGGAGGTGCGGCAGTACTACCACTAGTCAAAGCAGTACTTGATTCGGTATTATATGTACTCGATACAAAAGGAATTGTGAGACGAAGACCATCAACAGTAGATGGAGAAATAGAACTGTCGGTTGTTGGTGCAGGAGATAGATTTAGGGAGTCAGTACTTGTAATACCTGACATTGTAATTTTACTGTAAGGTCGACTAACTAAAGGAAGAGAGGTTGTACTACTTAAAAAGTTTAGTTGGGGAGATGCTCCCGATTTGTCATTATTATTATCGGAGCCACTTGGTGGTGATGTGGGTGAAGTGTAAGAGATGGAATTCAAAAGAGAGAAAAGCCTGGTAACTGTTCTTTTCCCTAACAATTCATCAAGAGAGGCGTTGTCGTCCGATATACTATTTACAGGATCTATAGAGGAACTGGCATGTGCTACACTAAACCTTGGTGAAATTGTGCTAGTGCCTAAAGATCTAGTAGACTTTACATTCACTTTACTAGTGGTGGGTTGAAGTTTTGGAGTGGTGTTTATAGTGTTAAATATTGTGTCGTTTTCATACGGATCTACAGTGGTACTTTCCTTGTTTGTATTGTTGGCTTTTATAGCCGACAATGAACTCAATATTTTTTCAATAATTGTCGTCGGTTTTTCGGTTGTGCTAGCTGAAGTTGTGGCTGTAAAACTCTTTACAAGATTTTCTGACGAAAGCAAGGGTACGTCTGAGGTCACAGTCTTATCAGTCTTTGTCTTTTTGCTGGCTATTCTAAAGATAGCTGAACTAGTTGTTGATCTGTCGGTCGAAACGGTCTGTGACGATGGCGTTTTTGGTGTCGACGATATGGCTGTAATTGAATTTATTATACTTTCAAAAATTGAGACCGGTATAGGTTTGTTCGTTGTCGAAGGTCGAGACTCGTCATGCTCTGAATCCTAAAAAGACAAAACAGAATTGAAACGGGGTTGGTTTTGCTTTCAAAAAAAAATTTCTAATTATACCACTAGATTAGAGATTGTTTTGTTAACAGATCGCAGGTAATCTTCACTGATAAGGCTATCAGAAGGTACAATGTTATTTACAGGATCGTCGAATGTTATTATACGGACTTCTTCGTTTCCATGTTTCTGCACCTCCTAGAAATAAACCTTCTCTTTAACAAAAATTACCTATTTACGAAGTGAACGATTACTAAATGAAGTGATTATAATGTGAATATANAATTTTTCAAATGGTACTGTACACTTTTGACTAGCTCTCGCTCGATGATCGGTGGAGAAATGAGCTCCGCAGACAAATATGATTAAATTTGGAATTATGCTACGGCGCATCCTAATAAAGGGAAAGGGCATATCTCTAACTTCTTGAAACGAACAGTATTAAAGTGATATTTATTGGTAATTATTGGATTTCAAAGGTTTATGTTTATCGTAATTTCCAACTTATTAGGCCACTTTCACACAATGCTATAACGACACGATTTACTGCACGCGATTTGTCGTATCGTATCGGAATGCCGCTTTCACATTATGTGACTAAATTTTGTTTCTACAAAGTTCCAAGTTGAAATGCGAGAGCCTACCTATCCTTGCAGTGTTGTCTGGTTTACTTGTATGTATCTAATGGAGCGAAAAACAGTAATTCTATTAAATCGACATGCAGTAAATCGTGTCGTTACCGCACTGTGTGAAAGTGGCCTTAATCCTCATCAGTTTGCCACAGGTATAATAGTTGCTCCGCAAAAAGCAAGTCGACGTCTGCATCTGTATCTTGATATTGTACACTGTACACTTTATAAACAATTATTATAATTACAATATTATATAGTCGATGTCTGTCACGTCTGTCAAGGTGTATATCCATAATCACATCTTTGTGTTGTGTAAAAACATGTACGACACTACGTATGATGAAACTAAATGTTTTTATCATATATTAGGTGAACTTACCACGATTGGAGTGATTGTTGGTACTGTGGGTATATATTTAGGTCCTGGGGTGCTACCAAGAAATTTATTACTTCTTTTTAACGGATCGTTGCGATATCTCGAACTAAATCGGTGAAAAGCTGGTTTTGAAGACACGCTCGCCTAAAATCAGTCTATTGATACTTCAAATAACAATAATACAGTAATTTGTCTGACAATGAGAACACAATTTGACTACTAATAAAACAATACTACATCATATAAGCTAGTGAATTCCACAACAAATTAATCAACTAATTGTGCACCAATATAATTGAAGAAAGTGTTACGAGGTTCTGTGTGTTCTCTTTTTGTTTTCATTGTTATTACCTGAGTTGTCGAAGATTTGGAGTCTTTGTTATTTTTATTAAACTTTGAAAAAGTTTTCGGACTGCTTCGAACAAAATTTGGTTTCGATGTGCTTCTTTCTATCTTCTTGCTGCTATAACTTCCAGTAGATTTAGGAGAAAAGTTTCGTTGTTTAGAAGTAGAGGAAGATATTTCGTTTTCGTTTGGATTAGCAGTGGTACTACTAGAGTTAGATTTGTAACGGGCGTGATAACGACCCTTCTTTTTATGGGTTGACTTTGTGGTGAATTTTGGGGATTGTGTAGATGTGGTAGTACTGCTGGCGATAACAGATTTTTTTGCAGGAGCCTCCAGCTGCTTTCTGGATTTCTCAGTTACATGGATCTCATTACGTTGCTTTTGTTGTCTCGAAGGACTACTTTTGTTCGACTCCAATTCGTTTTCCTTGTCTTCATCCTATATACCACGGAAGAATTGCTAATATTACAAACTATGCCTTATTTCTTCGGCTCAAATGTTTTTTAATGTTAAAGGTCAACTTGCGGTCAGTTTTCAATAGTTAAAGTTTAATCGTATGAGTCTAAGGGTAAATATTGAGATGGTTCGACTTTTTTGATGTATAATTTACAGTGTTTTCTTTGGAATGAATTTTCTAATGACATAAAAGCTTAACAAGTGTATTTACATTACATTTTCAAAATAGAACTAGTGTTTTGGATGTTTGGGTAAGTGATTTTTGTGCGGAAATATAAAGCATAATTTAACTTTACGTATGTATCAAAAAGCACAACTCATGTTCAGTTTACAAAATATTAGCAATATGACATCTAATATCTAGATTTACCAGATGTTTCTGCTTTATTTACAAATGTACGCCAATAAATACGATATGCGTTTATTTCTTAATTCACTATTGTGCTACCTACTGAAGAAAAGGATGGACAAAATACGATTACTTATAATTTTCAATAGAAAAGCAGGAATATAGACGAAAACTAATAAATTACCTACTAATACAATGTAGTTGCCTTAATAATGACATACATACCCTTCTGAAATAGACATGTTCGATTGGGGCTACAGAAGAAGTGGATGGAGTCCCGCTTGCTGTAACCGGAGTCGTATAAGGGGTCACGATCTGCAATTTCTCCGTGACCTTAGCTTGCTCAGTTGTCTTTGATTTCGAACTCTAAAGAAAAATAACAACTGACATTGAATCTTTTCGAAAAGAAACTTGATATTGTTTATATCTACATGACGATTAATTCAACTTAAGATTTTGTCTTCATTTTTCTTAATAGGAACTGTTTGACCTTTTGAACTTTGTTAAATATAATAAGACGAGGTGCCTTTCTCTATTGCTGCAAATTTTCAAATTTGAATAGCTCTTTCACGTCTACAAGTACATCAAGCTTTTGCATCGGGTATGCTAATTTTACGATTAATTTGCGAAAGTTTTGGAAATTCACTTGATTATAAATGCAAAAAAGTTAAATGTTAGTCAATAATGTTTTGGCAATTTGCCATAATAAAATAATACCTAGATTAAATAGAGTTAGCTGAGAAAGAAAGTGTAGATTTAAAAAAAAGTTACATAAATATCTTGCAAATAAGTATTTGTTAACGTTTATCTGAAATTTGAATTTGCGTGTTGATTTGTTTTGAAATAATTTAAAAGCATAGCTAATAAAATGGCTTTAAATGTTTGTACCTTTCCGTCTTGCTTCTTGGCTTTTATAAGTGATTTAAAAGGTTCTGGATAATTGTCGGACTCATTTAATTCCTCATCGGATTTGCTCAAATCGGATTTTGCGGATTTTCTCTTTCCAGAAGGTTTGGACTTTGACCCTGCCGCTACAGATCTTTCAGTAGTTGATTTTTCTCCTGTTTTTGACGACTTTCGGGAATTCTTCCTTCTTCTTCCAATTTTCTTTGTAGTCGTTATCTGGGTTACTTCTGAAACTTGAATGCTCTTCTTGACGGTTGGCTGGGTGGACTTTTTTGAGACTGAATTTTCATTTTCCGCAGCTGTACTTGGTTGTGCTGATGATTTTGCGATTTCTTCGGTAGAATCCTGTGTTATTTGCCTTCTTGTCACCCTAGACCTTGCTGTGGTAGCAGATTCCGATACTTTTTTTGTTTCTTCTTTTCTTTTGCTCTCATCTTCAGTTTCAGCTTTCAAATTTGGTTTAGCTGTGGCTGCACGATATGCTTTTGTAGGTATTGGCTTGCTTTCGCTTTCGAATAAAGGAAGGACTTCTAATTTTGGAGTTCTATTTCTTGACCGAGATCTTCCTCCTGCGGAGTTGTTAGAAGAAATGTCAGAATTTTGTTTTTTGTTGCGTTTGGTTTTTCTACTTCGAGATTTGTCAACAGTTCGTGGAGATTCAGTTACTTCTGATAATTGATTTTTTTCTACTTTTCTTGGCTCGCTTGGAGTTTTAGAATCAGTTGTTTTTCCATTTAGTTCATTCAAATTAGTTTTCTGTGTGTCCGCTGATGAACGTTGGGATTCTGCGTTTCTGACAGAGTTTCTACTTCGAGATTTGTCAACAGTTCGTGAAGATTCGCTTACTTCTGATAATAGATCTTTCTCTACTTTTCTTGGCTCGTTTGGAGTTTTAGAATCAGATGTTTTTCCATTTAGTTCATTCAAATTAGTTTTCTGTGTATCCGATGATGAACGTTGCGATTCTGCGTTTCTGACAGAGTTATTCTGAGAAGGTTTACTCGTAACACCTTGGGCAATTTCTCTGCTGACTGTCTTGGTACTTCTCCTGGATTCGCTTGGTAGTGGATCTGCTATTTTTCTTCCAGTTCTAGTTCTTGATGGAGAATCTCTAATGACAGAACTAATAGTTGCACTACTATCAAGATCGCTTCTAGATCGCCCTCTTTCTCTTGTTCGACTTCTTGCAGTTGTAGAGACTTCTTGCTGTACTTGTGGATTCTTTGTCCTTGTTCTATGCCTTTGGGGAGATCCTGCTTCTTCTGCACGGGCTGGTTTATTATAATTACTATTATTATTGCCATTTCTTGATCTTGTGTTTGGAGTTTTAGGTTGTTCGATTCGTCGTGATTCGCTTCTTACATTCGTTGCTTGGGCAGCATCATTTGGCCGACGTCTTTCATGAGAACTTCCAGAAGTTCGTCTATCTTTTACTCTTTCTTGTGGCTCAAAAGCGTTGCTACCTCTCGATCTAGGAGTCTCTCCTTGATGCTCTAATGGTAGTCTTCTTTCTTTTCTTCCTGCTGTTGGTAAATCTGGTAATGATTCTGATGCTGTTTGAATGTAAGATTCGGTTGAAATTTTTGCAATGTCTAGTACTTCTGCTGGTGGCACAGGTGTTATAGGCTCTTGTATATTTCTTAAAGGTTCTGGTTCTGGAAGGTAAGCTCTAGAACGGAGATTGGTAGGTTTTTCTTCTGCTACACGGTGTCTTGAAGGGTTTCTACTTTCAGCTGCCCCTTGCTCAATTCTTTGCTTTTTTCTGGTAACTTTTCTGCGGGGCACCTGTTGATTTGCTTCTTCATGATGGTTGTCACTCTTGGCAGGTTGAACTACAGAACCTGGAGGACTTTGAGGTGGCAATTGATCATTAATATTTTGTGGAAAACCAGAACTGAAACTTTCAGGATTCTCTGAAGATGATACGATTTCATTTTTTGCAAATACAGGTTCTTCCTGAGAAGATGAAGAATCTTTAGTAATTCCATCGTTTGATACAGCAACATTTTCTCCTTCTCCGAGTAATTTATTTATTTCTGCTACTTCATAAGTCTCTGTTGTTGAGGTTGACAGGTCTACAGAGCTTGGAGCTTCTGATGATTTCCTGCTACTTTTTAGTGGGGTATCGTCCAATACCTCTTTGACTTCGTATGACTTAGTGTCTAATGGTTTCTGAACAGGCCTCGAAGGCCTTCGTTCAGAATTTCGGGGTTGTGTTTGAAAATCCGTTCCTCTTTGAGCTCCTTGGCGACGATTCGCTCCCCTAGGAGTAATTTCGAAACCAGTTTCTGCTTCTAAAGTGTCTGAAGAAGCTGTGAATTTGGCCCGGCCTCTTCCTCTAGGTCGCGGACTTGTGGAAGGATCTGATGTGTCCAAATTCTGAAACGAAAAATAAATTCTAAAATTTATAACTCGAATTATTATGTGAATTATCATGGATTATTGTAAAACAAACGTATACTAATGTACATATGTATATTTTGCTTCGTTTGTTACAAGTTTATATTTACATGTGTATAAGCTAGTGAAGGGAATGTATTTTGGTTGAAAAATTTACATACCAATCTCTTACGTTGTGCAACAATCCGATTTATGTTCTAGTACGTACTTCTAATAGATTTTGAATCTACAGTAATACACGCGAACTAGAAACTGTTTCAAAATATGTAAGTACTTCATAGTATTGGTTAATTCTAATCGTTCCCCAAAAACTACTTATTTTCTTTTACTTATTTCAGGCAAGTATTTGCGTTGCATGTGTATTATAATTATTATTGAATAGTGCCTGTAATATTTCCGCATTTTGTTTACATACTGGTTTTTGTATTTATAAGTAAATTACTTACTTGAAAGAAACTGATTATCTTTAGCGTGTTCGGTACAGGTTAATAAAAATTGCAAAGACTGTAAATAACTATTATGCCATATAGGACAAGCTCACTGTCGAAATATAGATAAGAAGTTTTTAAACAAAAAAGATATGTTAATTGAAATATGTTATCCAATACCCATGCTTTACAAATAAATGCTTCTACATACGCATATGTAGAAATCGGCTGATGGCTTTAATGTGCGTGATATTATTATTTTTATTATTGAATTTAATGAGCACTTTTGTTATCTACATTTCTTTATATTATATTCAAATTTACACTACATATTGTAGGAAAACAGGGTAAGTTAATTTGAGGAGGATGTACATAATGATAGGATTGGCACCTATGAGATGAAGACTATTACGTTAGAGATATGTTAGATGCAGAGCCAGGAGTAAAGAGAAGCAGAAGTAGACCGAGATTAGGTTAGGCTGTCGGGAATAAAAAGATCAATTCTACACTAATATCACTGATGTTTTAGTGTAAAGGACGATGAATACGGTTCGTAACTTTAGGTTATTATTTTTGAAGTGAAACTTCTTTGGGCTCGATGAGAATAAAATCGCAAGGTCATGAAACGACATGTTTTGCAACGTTTCATCTCGCGAAGCGATAGTCTATGAGAATAGAAAGGCGTGCATGCGCATATCGGTATTACAGTCAGCTGTTAGTGACTGGCATCTCATATATTATAGTATAATGTATATTCACTATAGTGCTAAATTAATTTTTTGGTTATATCTGTGCAGTTATATTACAGTAAGTGTATTACAGTAAATGTTTATTTAACAACAATTAATATTTATTTAAGAGTGAGTATTATTATTATGTATTAATTCTAATTCCTTGTATTGATAGTTTACGGTTTCTTAAGCACTTGGAAAGATCAACGGAAGCGAAAAAAATCTTTTTGTTATTGAATTACATAAAAACGTATTAAAGTAATACTCCTTAGGTGGACTAAAGATAAAATATATTGGAAAACATAAATCCTGAAACCTACTCTCTCTTTATTTCACCAATTATTACTTATTCGTTATAAAGGTATAGAGATGGGCAAAGAAGTTTCACTTGTACTAAGTTGCACGTGTTGTTTTTAGGAGGGGTAGAGATAGACCTAGATTAGATTATTATTCGCAAATAGTTAAGGATGTGGGTTGTTCTAGTTTTAAGGAAATGCGAAGATTAACTCAGGATAGGAAAGAGTGGAGGTGCGTGTCCAACCAGTCTTAAGACTGACGACCTTATGATGATATTTCGAATACCCGTTTTTTCGAATCCAGTCGCATTTTAATAGAGATATCTCCTTTCATGCCCTTCAAGACGGTGTATAGGTCCCAAAAGGTATTTCAAAACGTCATAAGCTATGACTTTGCGAGAAATGCGCGAAAGGCGGAGCTTATACTGAAACATTTACTTATCAAGGGGCGGAGTTATGTTTCTGCGCATTCCAAGGTCAAAGCTCATGGCATTCTGAAATACCTCTACCATACTCACGGTACTACACTATACTTGTACTATGTTACAATCTCTTATTGAATGACCAAGTCTGAAACATTTGTGCTATGATTGTAGGCGTACGTCGCTGGGTAGGTACGAAGGTTTCTACATATGGGTTTTATAAATCTTGATTTACAATGAAAATTGAAATTGAGTAATACACGGTTGCTCTGTTATGGGCCGTTTTACTTATAAGTACTTTCTCTCTCCCGTATTATAACCTGACCGGTACCAAATATAACAATGGTCCGGATAAATAATGCGGAGCCTGACATCGCCAACTGTGTGCCGGCTACCTAATTATTTATTTGCTCAAGCCCGACCAAAGTTTGATCCTGTTTTTTCATTAATTACTGCGGTCGGAGAACGGACCATTCGGTGTAGTTATCCTTGCATAACCTCTCGCATAAATTGAATTCGGTACGAGACAACAAAACTCTGTTCTGCTTATACACTTCACCAACTTGCTCCAGCGAATTTAAAACATTTAAATTTAAAGGTCGTATTTAGAATGTATCTAGATCTTATTTATACGACACGTGCATACAAATGTGTGGTCCAATTTCATTTATTTCAGCTTAATCCATAAAACATGGGTTTTAAGTAAACTCATTGAGAAATAGCCAAAACGTAGAAATTCCTTAGTTATTAACCAATGAGTTTATTAAAATCGAATGTCCTAATTGAATAGCGCATCTTGGTTCCTTTACTACGTTCTAGTAGGCTACCCAAGATAAAAATGTTTAGTCTATCAGAGTCTCTGAAAGCGAGACTCGAGTCTCCGTCTCTCATCGAGTCTCTCTGGTGTCGAATCTCTGAATTAACAGTTTTATCGTTCGAGTCTCTCATAGTGAGACTGTGAGAGATCCATAAAAACACCTAGGCAATAACTGAGAGACTGTGAAAGACTGTGAGAGACGCTCTCAGAGACGCTAAAAGACTCTGAGAGACTGGGGAGAGACTTATTACATGCTGCAAAATTTGAACATTCTGTATTTATAAATTTTATGGCTAAATTCGAAAATACAAGAAAAACTAAGGATAAGTTCATGTCTAATACTATATTTATGTTCTTTGATCCATACTGTCATAGGTCCATCACTTTGTCGAATATATCAATAACGTGTCCACTGTCAATGTTCATTATAATCGCATAATTCCAACATACTATATTTTTTTCGTCTTTATTACATACACTCTGTATATTCGTTTCTAATCGAGGATGCATATAACGATTTCAGCTTGACATAATACAGGTTACAAAGTGTTCTATGTAACTTACATCAGATGGACTATTACATCAAAGACGTTTACAATTGAACTACAAATTTTAGATTTGCCAATCGTTAAAATAAGTTAAGACCGTTTAAAACGCATGCACGGTAAATTTTTCCGATTTTGACATAGTTAGTCAAAAGTTAATAGCCACAGTAAGCTCAAAATAATTTTAATTGTAGGTAATTTCAGATTTTTTTCAAACTCTCAAATAGTTTTGTTTAAAAATGGTAATACAAAATTAAAATACATAAGAATTATTGTCATTTATCATGAATTTAATAACGATTTTGAAGTCAAATCAAATATCTCATGACATTTATCTTTACAGGCATATAAAAGGGAAGATGAAACAATGGAAGAACTATGATATGCAGTCAGACCCACTGATCAAATCAAATTGGTTCCACTACGCCACTGGCTTCTTTTAGTAAATTTCGGTTAATACAAGGTAGGTGAATATGTTGCATTGTATCTTGGTTTAATATTGCTTCAAAAGATTAGCTGTCAATATAAGAAATATTGTCAGTTTAGAGTCAATTATTAAGTACATATCCAACAATTTATTGTGCTGTCTTCATTACCGAAGAGATTCCGTCAATAATTGAAATATTGGATGTAAAAAAAATTAAGGAAATTGACCATAATTCATGGTATTAAGATATATAACAATTTGTTGAATTCGTTTAGTTACTTCGACTTATTGCTTTTATTCTTCTGAAATCGTTTCGATGCAGAAGTTGGACAACGTATGTAGTACCTACGTATAGACATTATACATATATCCGGTTATAGAATGTTGTAACGTGTTATAAAAAAATTACTCTTGTAAAATTGACCTTACGTAACCAAGCACTTTCTCCCATTTACTAAATCATCCACGGATTGGCTTACGTTCACATAAAACGCATAATTAGAGTATCATAAGTGCAGCGAGCTTTCTGAACAATAAAATTACTTTGGAATAAAACGCAATTGAATCTATAAATAACATTATACGTTTGCAATTGTTGTTAAATACCTACAATTAAAATTTATAATACAAAACGCGTGGCGGGAAATACATTAAACAAAGCTTATAATTGGTACAATCCTAAAGGGACAAAATCAAATGTTTTTCACATTTCACACCTTAAATACTCAATCGATCATCATGAAGTTTTGTACACACATTGTGTGGGAGAACAGAAAAGGGCATAAAGTACCTTTTAGCCAGAAAAGAATGCTGAAATAGAAAAATCAGTTTTATATGGTTGTCGAAAAAGGTTGTTAAAGGTGTATGTTTGGAGCACGGTGCTATACGGGTGCGAAACATGGACAGTGGGCGCGGCAGAAAAGAAAAGGTTAGAAGCGTTCGAAATGTGGTGCTATAGGCGGATGATGAGGATAACGTGTGTAGAAAAGGTTAGAAATGAAGAGGTATTGGAAAGAATAGGAGAACAGAGGACCCTATGGAAGTCAATAAAAAATAGGCGAGATAGGTTGGTAGGACACCTTCTCAGGCATGAATCTAGTCAGAGACATATTAGAGGCAGAAATAGGAGTTAGGAGGGGTAGAGGTAGACTTAGATTAGATTACTGTTCGCAAATAGTTAAGGATGTGGGCTGTTCTAGTTTTAGGGAAATGCGAGGTTTAGCTCAGGTTAGGAGAGAGGGGAGGTACGTGTCCAACCAGTCTGACGAGCTTATGATGATGATATGGTTGTCGACAATTTTTGACACGTATTT